GTTTGCTATCCATACCTTTTTGGTATTATTTGCTTCGAGACGAGTACGGAATGCATTTGGGTTGAATTAAGAAAATATATTAAAATAATTTAATGGGTTCAGTAAGGAATATTAGTTTGGGATGAGTAAAGAAATGGGATGAGACGTCATAGGATGAATACGGAACAACCCCAAATTTTCTTTTTATGCTTGCAAGCGGCCGGCATCGTCAGGGAATACCCTCGGGATGACATCACAGTTATGGACTGACAGACATGAACCCAATTGAGCACATGTGGGACGAGCTAAAAAGACGTGTTAGGGCTCGTCAGCCAGTCGCCCAGACGATGCAGGAGTTGAAAACTGCCATAGAAGAAGAATGGGAGATGATCCCTCAAAACTTCATAGAGCGGTTGATAAACTCTATGTCTAATCGTATGAGCTGTGGTAGATGCCCATGGAGGCAAAACGCTAATTAAATTAAACTTTTATTTGATAAAACATGTTTTTTATTCAAAAATCAATTGTCTTAAACAAGGCGCATATCCGATTTGTTAGGCGTAGCTCCATGTCGTATGGTATTCTGAATTCAAATTTAAAAAAATACTATCGAAAAAGATGGTAAAATGTATCAGGTTTAAAACTGCATCAACAGTTTTTTTTTCAATCTAGCAATCATATTTCGGTAGGGGCCATCGAAACCTAAACTCTAAGGTGGGCCAATAGATGTGTCCAGAAGTTTATAAATTATATTTCTCCACGGACTGGTGTCCGTGGCCTTGTTATATAATTAGTTGCATTGTTTTCATTTTGGTCAACTGTGATGTCAATTGTGTTGCATTGTGGTCAAATCATTGTTATAAAAATCTTACATGCTACGCTAACCTAAAGTAAAATGGAAATAAATATATTTGTTTGTTGTTGTTGTTGTTAACCACTAATATCTCTACACAGAGTACTTGATGTTTTTACCTATTATAATATTATTATCTTACACTGACCCTTTTATGATATAATGTCTAGATAAAGCGTCACCATACAATAGCAACTAAAATGACGCTCCAAAATTTCTTGCATGTGTGCGTGCGGTTTGTGGTTGACACGTAGCAAAAATGATACTGATGATAGCTACGACAAAAATTCTGCCATCAAATGAGAAAGACCTTTGTATGGAGCGTGGTGCCTTTTAATTTTTTTCGCGGCAGTTGATCGAATGTGGAAAAACTGATACAGAATAATATAACAAACAAAAAAAACACAGTCCAAACCGAGTTAAATCAGTTCAAAGGTGTGAAAATAGTGCTATATTATTCCTTTTGTACAACAACGACAACAAATATTTCTTCATTTACTTGTCAGAAATATTTCGTAATAAATGTTTATAAACGATTTCAATGAATTTAATAAAGCTTATTGTGAACTTTTATATTTTTTTTAATAAGGCCACGGAATTAGAACAAAGTGAACCATTAACTGGCCACTGCCGAAATAAAAAAAACATTTCGCTTGGTTGGCTAGCGTATTAACTTTATATGTGTACGGTTTAAGGCCTATGACAGATTTTCATGATCGATTTCCTCTCGGTCAAAAACCCGCAAAATACTTTGCTGAGCCCTACCATGAAATGCTATGTTCGTCAGCTGCGGCGTCGGTCGCGGATACATGAAAAAAACCTTTTTCTGTCTACTTCTCCCGACTAACTTCCGATTAGTAACTAATCTAAATACAGTTCATACTTCAATCTACAGCTAGCATAAGATCCTGTACAAAGGCACCGTCATTCAGTCACAACGAGATAGATTATATTTCGACTGATCACATTATATGAAAAAATTATGCGCTCATCTGACGTATAGTCCATCACTTTACAAAGTCGACGGTTTCCTTTCTTCAAAAGATTATGCTAACTATAAAGTAGATTAGTCTACCAACAGGAGTCAACGGCAAAAAAAAACTTTTTTTAGATTTTTGTACGGCTACACATCCCACAAATTATCGACTGAGAGAAATTAGCAAATAAAAATTAGTGCCTGACAATATGAATATGTTGTTGTGGTGTGATATGGTGTTCCTGTGCCCGGCGTACAGTGGCGCGCAATTTGAAGTTAGTGACAAAAATATGAATAATTTGAATAGAAAAACCAAAGTAAAATGTTTGACTTCAGCTCCTTTCGACGCTCATAACTCAGTGCAGACTGAGATTTCCAAAAGAAAGGCACCTATTTTAGTCAATGCCCTTTAAATCTCACAAAAATATTTGAGTACATATACCAGACCGTTTAGAAGTAAAATAAAAAATGTAACCATCTCTTTGAATTCGATTTTTAAGTTGTTTTTTTTTATTGAACACTTTATTGATATTTATATTTTGTCATATAAGGAATTAATTTTCCGTGCGAAATGAATAATGAAATATTCATATTCAGACATTTTTTACATCATTTTTTTTTATGGAATATGAGGCAAACGAGCAGACGGATCACCTGATGGTAAGCGATCAGCGCCGCCCATGGACACCCGCAACACCAGAGGAGTCACAGGAGTATTGCCGGCCTTTTAAAAAGGAGTACGTTCTTTTCTTAAATGTTTGAAGGTTGTATCGGTTCGGAAATACCGCCGACGACAGATCATTCCATAGTTTTGCTGTGCGAGGCAGGAAGCATCGTGAGAAGCGCACAGTAGTGGCCTGCCAACCATCTATATGATAATTTGTATAAAACCAATTTATAAAATACTAGCAGCCCATCCCGGCTTCGCACGGGGTAGACAATTATATATTTTTGGAAATTTGGATTGTTGTAGGGACATAACTACAAACTGTATGGCGTGTACCCTTCTTACCCTTTAATGTACCCGATATTGTTTGTGCTGGGCATGGTGGGGTATAGCGAGCTGAGAGTGCGCAGAAAATTTATGTTAGCTGCTTACGTGGTGAAGTATTGCGAGGTGTGGCACATGGCCCGGGCGGGTGCGCCACCTGCAGTGTGTGACCGATACATATGGAGGCGACATCGTCCGCCGCTGCTCGCTGTACTGTGGCCAGGACCTGTGGCCAGGACCTGTGGCCAGGACCTGTGGCCAGGACCAATCTTCTGGCCAAGACCCCGCTCACGCGAGCCATTTGCACGGTAAATGAGGTTCATAGCCGCATTGACATATTTTCGTGCAATACGAGTGATCTAGTGAGAGTATTATTAAATATAAGTGCATATAATAATACGTTGCAATAGATTTTCATAGACACAGTCGACCACGACATACTCTTGTCGAAGCTGGCTGGTATGGGTTGCACATACCATACTGTAAAGTTCTTCGCCAGTTATCTTCGGGATAGACGTCAGTATGTGGACTGTGGCGGACACTTTTCGGAGCCCTACTACACCTGATCGGGCGTCAGTCAGGGTAGTAATTTAGGACCCTTATTATTTATTATCATGGTAAATGATTTACCTACGGTGGTCAGATCAAGGTGTCTTCTATTTGCTGATGACCTTAAGTTGTCAGCAGTAGTTAAAGACACAGCTGATCGTGACATGCTGCAGCACGACTTGGACAAAGTCACTGAATGGAGTCACTGCAATAAACTATATTTCAATATTTCAAAGTGCTCGGTGCTTTCATTTGCCCGCACACTAAACCAACAACACCATCAGTACAGCATGAACGGGGAGCTGCTGCAGCGTGTCACGGAGGTAAAGGATTTAGGTATCCATTTCTCCAGCGACTTAAGGTTTCGTAAACATGTGGTATATGTTTGTAAGAAGGCGTACAGGAATCTGGGATTTGTGCTGCGTCAGGCAAATGATTTCACGAATATCAGCGCATTAAGGGCTTTGTACGAGGCTCTTGTGAGGAGTCATCTGGAATACAGTGCGACCATCTGGAGTCCGAGCGAAATAAAATATAAAACAATGCTCGAGCGGATACAAAATAAATACATCAGATTTATGTATTTAAAAATATATGGGATATATCCGGGATACCCGTTACTGTATCCCACCTTATTCTGTCTCGGTATGGTGGGGTACTACAAATTGGAAGTCAGGCGTGAAGTGGCATCGGCAACTTATCTTCTGAAGGTTTTAAGAGGTAACATACAAAACTCTGGTATACTTTCAGAGATAGGTTTTTGTATGCCGGACGACTATGTGGCGCGAGGTGGTGGTGCCGCGGGCGGTTCACTCGTGCGCACTCTCAGCACGGTGGCTGATGTCGTAGACATATTTAACTGTACACTGAGCGAGTTCACAAGGACCACTTATTCTATAGTGTGTAAGGAAATATAGTTTGCAGTTAAAATTTTAATAAGTTTATAGTTAAATATAGTTCATAGTTAATAGTTTAGAAAACATATTTTAAGTTACTATGTCGAATTAGGTTAAGTTATCTGTAATGGCAAAGTAATTGTATTAAAATAAATAAATAAATAAATAAATAAATTTTCCGATCTCAAAATTGTTTACTCTCTAAAAAAGTCTCAAAGTTATTTCTTTGTTTGTTATTTTAATAATAGTTTATGTTAGTAAGTAGATACTGAAGTAAAATATCGTTTATGATTAATTGTGAGTATGTAATATTAAATTTGTATGGGAAACTTTATTGTATTAGTATATGGGTATGTATAAGTGTTAAGTTTTAAGATGTAGTAAAACTGATGGCTACACTATCGTATTGGAATGTATCTGTAACGTTAGTTGTTAGTGCATTAAATAAATAAATAAATAAAATAAATACAATAGTTGGACATATGCTACCGCGGAGTTTTTTGTAGACATTATGATTTTCTTCAATATTATTGTACATTATTTTTTTCAATCGCTAATAGTTTCGGCAGCGCATTCGACGAAAGACATTTTAAGACTCATTTTTCTACACCTTCGGTTACATTGTTCAAATTTTATCAAGGATCCCTATTTTTTTTCAATTATTAATAAAATATTATTTTATTTTTAATTTACAACCAAGTGAGATTTTTTGTCAATTTTTCCTTCTTTATGAGACCGTGAGAATGGAATGTTGAATAATAAATTGGCAACACTAATAAAATATGGCGGCAATTAGTTAGGACAAAAACATAAATTGAATAATGTAATTTTTAATAACTTAGCGATGGATAAGTGATCTGTTTAGTACTTTTTAACCGTCATGTATAATTTTAGCACATTTACATGGAGCAAGTGGCCATCTTTGCAGTGTACTTTTTTGTTTATTTTGTAGCGTGCATACACATAGTGACACCTAGGTGACACAATTACTAACTACTTGACGGGAAAATGCATTGCAGTGAATAGTTCACTGCAAACTTTTGGACTGCTTTTTTGTAAACTGACACTCCATCTAAACATTTATAATTCAAAGCACTAACCCTACTGAATCAGCCCACCACCACGATGAGCGAGCCGACCTGCTCCAGCAGAAGGCACCCGTTCTCGGATATGACGTGTAGCCAGTAATCAGTCCAATCCGACGGGACGTTACATACACCCCGCCACCATGTTAGACCAAATACTATACTCACTGGCGAGAATAGAACTTTTCTTCTTCAAACTCCTGGACTTGGAGTTGGGGAAGATACCGCGGACTGCACTGGTAGGTGACAAGGCATGACCTTTCCCGGAAGACGAGTCTGTGTTGACGTGGGCCCCCATCACGATGTCCCCGGTGCCGGCGCCCGGGGGCCCGGGCGAGCGCCGCCGCAGGGACCCGGCGGGGCCCGCGCCCGGGCTGCCCAGGCCCATTGCCACGGGCTCGCTGACGGGACTATTAATGGCTGGCATCTCATGGCGCTCACTCGGTATTATTCGAATGTCGTGCTTCGTTATATGACGAAGAGGTACTGATATCTAAAATACAACAAAGCAACAAAATGTCTTAAATACTGAAGATAATCCAATCCAATCACAACGAACAATCATTAGTTGTAAAGTTATGCCTTACATGTGTGGCGTCGACGGGTCTGATGGGCTTCAGGGGTGACGTAGGGGGGTCCTCCGGCCGCGGCACGGCGCGCAGTACGGGGAACTGGGGGGGGGCGCGGCCCCCGGGCTTCGCCCCCGCGCCCCCAGGCGGCCCTAGCGCGGCTGGGCGGGGCGGGGGCGCGGGGCGCGGCGCGGGCTGGGGCCTGGAACGTCACCACACGTATCACACACTGTCACTTGCGTCTCCATCTCATATTCCCTTCTAGTCAAACACCTAAAACGATATTTGCACACTTTTCTTATTACGTGCGGGATTTTTACAGACAACCACCAATAAATTACTCCTCAAATAAAATTTTACCAACACAATAGAAAATACAATAGTGTCACGAACCTGTACGTATCGTCAGTGCCGGCCCGCTCAGTGCGGCGGCGATGCTCCATCATGGCGATGTTGATGGTCTCCAGTATCCGCTCCGTGGCGGACTCGTCTCGGTCGCCCGCAAACATATCGTCTTCAGCGTGTGGTTCAGATTCCGCTGGTACTGATCTTTCATCAGCATTACTGCGTCTTCCGCGTTGTATCGCCTCGCCGATTTGAGAACTTGATTTCTTAAAGTCAAGGATACGGTCCGCTTTGTCCGTCGCATGTAGAGCCAGTGGACTGTCCGTGGGTGTAGTGGGGGATTCCGGAATAGTCTGTGCGGCTAGGGGGCCGGGCTCGTCCAGACTCGCATCGAAGTCGTAGGCAGGAGTCGAGTGGCTCTTGTCTAGCTTACCGCGATTGCGGTCCGACGCCGCGGCCTCGTCGGAAGGCTGCGGGCCAGAAGGCGCCAGGCCGGGCCCCTGGGGCGCCAAGCCAGGCCCCGAAGGTACGGGCGGGGCTCGGTCCAGTACTACCCCCAGACACGTGCGGGGCCGGGGCGACAGCTCCAGCCCTGTACTGCACGACACCGCCTGTAACATTCACGATATAACCATCCAGTAATCTATTTGTATTATATAAAAGGGATGAAAAACTTTATTTATTATGTTTATGTGAAAATACATACTTATTATATATACAATTAATATTAACTATAACTAAAAGAAAATATATACAACTTAAAATATAAATAACTATGAACTAAAATATTTACACCTTAAAAAAAGGTAATAATAAATAAATAAGCTATAATAACGCATCAAAAAAAAAATTTTCCTCATCATTATCGTGAGGTAGGGTGCCCAAAAGACTGGCAGCATTACCACGTTGAATGGCAATGCTTAACCTTTGTCCAAGGTAGAAGCCAGCCCTTCGATCACCTGAAGTGTCAACCATCCTCTTTACAATATCTTTGTAAAGAAGATGTGCACTTGGGCCCCACGGCCCTAAAGTTTCAACCCCAAACGGTTCGAAAGCATAATTGCCAATCAGGCAGCAGCGGCAGCACCGGCTCGACACGCTGAGTTTGGAAGATGGGATGGCGCCAGAGTATCAACGCAAGTGGCGTCCCATACGAAAGGCCTACCCATGTTCCAAGGGAATAATGACATACCGTCGGGTCTCTTGCCATCGTTGCGTACCAAGCCATTAGGTTCTAAAGTAGCTGGCACGCCAACGGAGACAAGAGCTCGACGAAT